TCTATCTATCTATCTATCTATCTATCTATCTATCTATCTATCTATCTATCTCTTTTTTGTATTTTGCATTGATCAATGGGGCCATTTTCCACTCATCCACCCCCTCCCTGCTCTGCTCTGCTTCCATTTAATTAGTTCTGCTGATTTATTTCCTGCTGGTTAATGTTGCATGTTTAAATATGAAGTCTCAGGTGTGGGAGTACCAGTGGCCAAATAAGTTGCATTTCATTCTCATAAAATCTAGTGTTGCATCCTTTTCAAGTAAACTTTCCCATGGAACCAGGCTTTATTAACTTTGTTGACCAATGAGTCTTTAGTTGTTTTATTAATACAGACTGGGAATTAAGTTAGCCCATTGCAAGTTTAGCTCTGTTGGTGAAGTGTCTGTCAACAGGTCAGAGAATGCTAGTAACTAACCTTTTTAGTTAAAAGGCCAATCAATCATTTTCTGTTGTGGGTTTAGGTCTGCTGCAGCACAAAGACTCCTGAGAGTACCTAGGGCTCACAATAGCAATGCAATTTGATTGACATTTCCTGAGAAATAATTCTGATAGGCTCAGTGAGCCAAATCTGGAAATGGAGAATTATGGACTAGGGTTTTCTCACAGCTTCTATGCATAATAGATGATGCACTAAATCCCATTGCTGACCAAAGAAGGATACTAATACAGGCTGTCATAGCAGTAAGTGGGATCATCTGAACAAACTCTGTTTACATTGAAAAATAAAACTGGAAACACATCAATGTTATGCTGCATATCAAGACCAGCAGCCAAGCCATCCCCTTCAATCTGGAAATGCAGGTGAGTTTACTTAAAATGACAGCTGCTTTATGGGCAGCCTGGGACTCAAAGGAGCACTTGTCCTTTGGGAAGGTTTTAAGAAATGTAATAAAACTCAGGAGAGTTATTTAAACACTTACTGTGTTCATTTTCTCCCTTTAAGAAAAGCTGAACCTTTCCAATGAGAGAGTGCGCTTATTGTACAGTATAGAAGTCCATTATGCTAAACATAAAACTAAGATTATAAGTTTAGACCTTATCTTTATAGGCATTTTTAAGAATACTTAGACTGCTATCAAGTAATACCTTAGGAAAATGCAACAGATTTTTTTAAAAATAATGAGCTTTATCTTTTTAAAATCTTTCTCCCGTAAACAAAATGGACTTGTTCATGCAGACACACAAAATTCAGATCCGTTAAAATATGGACATTTGGCAAAAGGAAAACGTATTCCTGTTGAAGAATATTAGCTTCCATTCTGAACACCAATTTGAAGCTTCAAGAGCACCTTTTGATGCTATCACTCCATCCATTCATCTTTTTCTTTAATCAATCATAAGTCTCATTGCATAGTGTTTCCTCCCAAATAAATTATCCTCGGCTTGAAAGTTTAATGACATACCACCTTGACTAGCTGGTACTTTTTATCATGTATATCTTGCAGATTTCTGGCTGCTTTGTCTAAAAGTTATGTTTTCCATTGAATTGATTTTTCACTTTTCCCTTTTTATTGTACAGAATCTGCAAACTAAAGAAAAACAACATTTGCACAAGGGTTTAACAGTGGCCTTGGACTGATGACAATGAATCATTATTACATTGCTTTTATGTGCACTGTGCTTGGCACTGAATTACTAAGGAGCTTTGGCACTCCTGTCAAATCCCCAAGATTCAGAGGTCGAGTGCAGCATGAACGTAAAAATATTAGGCCAAATATTATACTTGTGCTTACAGATGACCAGGATGTGGAGCTTGGTAAGTCTGTTTTGAATTGCAGCTTCTTTTTACCACCATCACAATTTTCTTTGGCTTTGATTTGTTCTTTTGAAAATCACTTTCTACTCTATAAATAATAGATATTCTGTATAGTAGCCTTTCCTGTCTATTATTGTAACTACTTGACAGATTTGGACAACCCATTCCCAGAAAACAAAACTATCTTGGTTTTTTTCTTCTTCAACGTGATATATCTTATTCCTATTTAACTCAGAATCTAGATAATGTTCAGCTACCTCTGATTAAATGAAGCATTTTATAAGACTGGGTGGCAAAGGAAAAGAGGAAGTTTCCTGTCAACAGCAGTTAATTTTCTAATAATGGCCATTCATGAATGTGTGTAAAACATTAAAGATCTGGAACACTGAAAACATAATCTCTTGGGTGCAGTTACAGTTCTATTTTATCCGTGTATACAATTACAAGCTGATAATTTTATATATGTATTAATATTTACTATGCACTTTCTGTATGTCCCCAATTTCACTCTAGCTATAAATACCCCAGTAAGAAGTAAAAAATTAAATCCATCAATTAATATAAAACAATGAAAAGGCTAGTGAGGCCCACAAGAGCACCAAAAAACCTGTTTGAAATACAAGGTTTTAAGAATCTTAAGAATGACTGCCAGCTGAAAAATTTCGCAGTTCAAATCTCACCAGGCTTAAGATTGACTTATCCGTCCATCCTTCCAAGGTGGGTAAAATGGGGACCCAGATTGTTGGGGGCAATATGCTGACCACTTAGAGAGGGCTGTAAAGCACTGTGAAGCGGGATATAAGGCTAAGTGCTATTGCTATTGCTATCTTCCTAAAAGTCTGGAATGAAGGGACCAAGCATATCTCCAAGGTCAGCATATCCATGGAATTGGGGTCACAACTGGGACACATTTTGCAGGAGAATGACTTGTAGAGCAGAATCTGATTCAGTGATCTAAGAGGAGAGGCAGACTCATTTTGGACAATATAGATCCCTGGCATTGATAAAGTATTCCACCTGTGGGGTCAGTTACCCCTCTTTGAGTCAACATTTTCTGGAAAGTAAGCAAATGGTGAATAAGTAAATTCTGCTTTGAGTTGAGCTTAACACTCAGTGATTTCATGGATTCTTCCATGAAATTTATTGGCAATAATAGAGAAGTGATTTTCCTTTCAATTTTCCAATCTGGCCTGCAGCTCAATCAAATGTCAAACATGTCAAAACCCTGCATATCTTTTTGAGATCAGCCAAAGTCAATCAGTTGCCAATACTTCAGTTGCCATTGCCCTCTCAAACAATGGGAACAGGAATATGTCTTGGTTTTTTTGTGTATGGCACTTTTTCAGGTACTTGGAAAGTATCATCCTTCCTTAGTCTTCTTCTGCCACAGTTAAACTTTACCGTTTTCTGCACTCTTTTTTTTCAGTATGTCTTGATCTGGTCTCTGAATATCCATTTTGCTCATCTCTGAATCTATAGTATTTGTCTGAATCATTTTTAACTGTTTACTCTTCACTACATCTACAAGGAACTGAGCTTTTTTCTTTTCATCCTTTTTGCCAGTTCATGACCATGGTCCTCAAGAATTGAACCAAAGTACTTTGGTCCACAAGAACCACAAGGGCTGACATAAATGGATATAATGGGCCAGCTACTTTCTCTCTGCCCAAACAATGTCATAGGGCTGTTATAGGGAAAATAGGAGGCAAGAGTATTAGGTTGGATAGATGGATGGATAGATCCATCCCACAGGGGTGGGATTCAAAATTTTTAACAACCAGTTCTGTGGGCGTGGCTTAGTTGGTGGACATGGCTTGGTGGTCATGTTATTGGCTGGGTGTGGCCAACTCAACATCACTCACATTGAGGCACGCATCTCCTCGCCTGGCCTCTCACGACTGTGGGAATGCTGCAACAGTCGTAAGTATGAAAAATGGTCATACGTCACTTTTTTCAGTGCCATTGTAACTTTGAATGGTCACTCCACACAAGCAAAGTACCAGCAAAGGAGGGGAAAAAACCTCCAGAGAAGTTCCAGAGACAGGAAGTCTAGTCCTGCCAAGAATGTAATAAGGGTTAATGGAGAGGCAGTTTCTGTAAGCAACACCAGAATGTTTCCTTCCTGCCTTCCTTACAGGATTAGGCCAGTAATTTCTTCTAACAACCGGTTCTCCGAACTGCTTAGAATGTTAACAACCGGTTCTAGCGAATAGGTGAGAACTAGTAGAATCCCACCCCTGGATACATACATACATACATACACACACACACACACACACACACACACACACACACACACATACAAAAGTACTTTGAAATCCTTGATTACAGATTACTAATTTGTGGCTCTTGAACTGAGAACAAGAATAAAATACCAATTTATTTTGGGAAGTGGATTACATTTACTTAGAAATAGTGCAACTGGGACTTCTATGCAATTGTATATATCAGATAACAATACCAAAAAGGTTCAAATTCTGAACACAGAATTTAAATGAAAGACATTCCTTTGAACAGTGTTGATACGGCCTTGAGGGATTGCTATTCTGTTTTGTGTTTGTTTAAAAATTAACTGCATGTTTTTAATAGCACTTGGTTTATATGTAAATAGTGACTATTACAAGGCTCATGGGCTTAAACCTAAATACTTTGCTCATTACCTCGAAACAATAAAATGTGACAATATAGCTTCTATAGTATGTAATATAGTTTTCCCTGCAAAATTAAATGTTAAGAAGGGAAGTTTGTAGTGCTATAAGACATTTTTTAAAAGCTTAAATTGTTCCTTGCATTCTTAATTAAAAACTGATAGCACATTTATCATTACTGAACTTTAAAAAAGAATGTACTGTTTACTGAAAGGAAAACACGAGTTGAACATTTCTACAGAAAATAACCAAAAAAGATTATGAAACAGGCAAAACTTATGTGCAATACCTACATTGTCAACCTAAAGTTTCCAACTCCAGTTGAAACCAATACAGGATATTTATCTTCCACCCAAGAATATTCTGTATGTAGTGTGTGTGTGTGTGAGAGAGAGAGATTAGCATGTGACTATATTAGGCAAATATCATATGTCAGCTTCTGCAAAGACCTATGTGTACCAACAAGGAAACTGCGAATATATAGTAACAATAAACCTTGGTTTACAGTTAAACTTAAGCAGCTATGCTGTTCCAAAGAGGAAGCCTATAGAAAAGGTGACAGAACGCTCTGCAATCAGGCCAGAAACATATTAACAAGAGAGATCAGAGCAGCAAAAAGAAGCTACTCTGAAAAGTTAAGGAATCAGTTCTCAACAAATGAACCAGCAAACATATGGGAAACTCTTAAAAACATCACTGGCTACAGCAAACCTCCTTCCCAGGCAGAAGGAAATGAACAACTAGCAGATGACCTGAATGTGTTTTACTGCAGGTTTGAAAGGAAACTACAGCCACCTTTCTCCACAACCCCCATCTCAAACACACCAGCAACAGCCAAGCCTCCTACAACTGACCCCAACCCATTGGGTTCACACCCTCTGGTGATCAAAGTGCAAGATCTATTTCACAGACAAAAGCCAGGAAAAGCACCAGGGCCAGACAAGATAACTCCTTGCTGAAAAGTCTGTGCTGATCTATTGGCCCTCATCTTCACACGAATCTTCAATCACTCATTAGAGATGTTCCTTCTTGCTTCAAATGCTCTACTATCATCCCAGTGCCAAAGAAGCCCTCCATCAGAGAACTGAATGACTACAGACCAGTTGCTCTAACATCTCTATTTATGAAAATCTTTGAAAGGCTAGTGCTGTCCCACCTGAAAACCATCACCGATCCGCTGTTAGATCCCATGCAGTTTGCATATCAAGCAAATAGATCGATAGATGATGCTGTTAATATGAGTCTGCACTACATCCTACAACACCTTGACTCTCCAAATACCTACGCAAGGGTCCTCTTTGTAGACTGCAGTTCAGCATTCAATACCATCATTCCGGACATTCTTCTAACTAAACTAAACCAGCTAGCGGTACTTGAATACACTTGTAAGTGGATCATAAGCTTCCTAACACACAGGAAAAGCTAGGCAAAGCAGGTGAAGCTAGGCAGAATCACATTTGATACCTGTACAATTAACACAGCCCCCCTCCAAGGCTGTGTGCTTTCTCCACTTCTCCCTATATACCAGTGGTGGCTAACCTTTTTGGGCTCCTGTTTCAAAAATTGTGCACGTGCTTGCATGCCAGCACCCAGAAGGCAATGTGTGCCGCCCACGTCCCCTACACATGCGCACACTCAATCCCACCCTATCCTACCCCCTGCCATCCCCTTACCTGCACTGCGCCTCACAGCTGATTTTGGCTGGTTTGAGGCCTTTTTTGGCCTCCCAAAGGCTTGAGGAAGGCTTCTTCGGGCTTCTACAAGCTTTGTAGGCTGAAATCTAGCCTCGTTTCATCACTTCCTGTTTTTCCAAAAATACTAGAAGTGACAAAATGGGGCTAGATTTCGGTCTACAAAGCTTGTAGAAGCCTGAAGAAGCCTTCCTCAAGCCTTTGGGAGGCCAAAAAAGGCCTCAAACCAGCCGAAAAGCTGCGAGGCACACACATACGCAGTGAGGTAAGTTTGCCTGCAGCTCGCGTGCCGGCACAAATGGCTCTGCGTGCCACCTGTGGCACATGTGCCATAGGTTCGCCATCACGGTTATATGCCAATGACTGCATCTCAAACGATCCATCTGTTAAAATACTGAATTTTGCAGATGATACAACAGTGATTGGTCTCATTCGAGACAATGACGAATCCGCATACAGACAGGAGGTTGTACAACTTGCCTCATGGTGTAACTGGAACAATCTGGAACTGAACACACTCAAAACCATAAAAATGATGGTAGACTTTAGGAGAAACCCCCCATAGTACCACCTCTTACAATACTAGACAACACAGTATCAACAGTATCAACAGTAGACACCTTCAAATTTCTAGATTCTATCATATCACAAGACCTAAAATAGACACCTAATATCAAAAATGTCATCAAAAAAGCATAACAAAGAATGTTCTTCCTGTGCCAACTCAGAAAGCTCAAACTGCCCAAAGAGCTGCTGATTCAGTTTTACAGAGGAATTATTGAGTCTGTCATCTGTACCTCTATAACTGTCTGGTTTGGCTCTGCAACCCAACAAGACAGACACAGACTTCAGAGAGTAATTAGGACTGCAGAAAAAACAATTACTACCACCCTGCCTTCCATTGAGGACCTGTGTACTGCATGAGTCAAAAAGAGAGCTGTGAAAATATTTACAGAGTCCTCACATCCTGGACATAATCTGTTTCAACTCCTTCCCTCAAAACGATGCTATAGACTGCACTGCACTGCACTGCACTGCACATCAGAACAACTAGACACAAGGACAGTTTTTTCCTGAACGCTATCGCTCTGCTAAACAAATAATTCTGCACTACTATTACTATTAACCTTCTCATCACTCCTTATCACCCATCCCCTCCCACTTGTGACTGTATGACTTTGTCACTTGCATCCTTACAATTTATATTGACTGTTTCCTAGTATGATTTGATTGCTTATTGTACCCTATGACTATTAATAAGTGTTGTGCCTTATGATTCTTGACTCTTGATGAATGTATCTTTTCGTTTATGTACACTGAGAGCATTTGCACCAAGACAAATTCCTTTTGTGTCCAATCACACTTGGCCAATAAAGAATTCTATCTATTAAACTCATCAAGTCAAAAAAACTTGAGCAACAGCTGTCTCCCACTCCTATTCAGACAGCCACATCTATATTCATGTGTGCCTATTGCTCATTCCATTTTTTCCCCAACATATTCTTCTTTTCTTCTCAATGAATCTCAGTTTATTATTTGAGGGCAAAAGCCTTCCTATTGCAAATGCACTGTTTCAATTTAATCCCAGGCAGAAATAACTTTTCAATTTTCTTGATCTTTCTGGAATCTAAAAATGTTTTGCTTTATGAAATTTATTTTACCGTGAGAAAAAAACTTAAGAATGAATGTACAATTGAGTAATTAAATCATGCTCACTGTAAGCAGTACTGTATACACACAAAGAGACACTTTAATAAATGGAAATTTCTTAGGATAAATTAAAATGTAACACTGAAAATTGTAGTTAGCAATATTAGGGATCAACATCATAGTTTATATAAACTTCGAATGTGTGCCGTACCTGAGTTAATTATGTGTTTCCTTTTGATGTTTAGGTTCCTTGCAAGTGATGAATAAAACCAGGAAGATAATGGAGAATGGAGGTGCCAGTTTTGTTAATGCATTTGTAACCACTCCAATGTGCTGTCCATCTCGGTCCTCAATGTTGACAGGGAAATATGTTCACAATCACAATGTCTATACTAACAATGAGAATTGCTCTTCTCCCTCCTGGCAAGCAACACATGAGCCACGCACCTTTGCTGTGTATCTCAACAATACTGGATATAGAACGGGTAAGGGATTAGTTTTCACATTCCTTTTTCAATTCGATTTTAAAAGGATAAAGTTTCCAATCTATTAATGCTGCTAATAACACAATTATTTTTGGAACATTGATGGAGCAATTATACCAAAGCTTAATGGTACTGTGTCTTGTCAACTTGTGTGTAGGAAATCAACAGAAAGCTGTATAAAAGAACAAATACTAAACTTATTAAAATGTAGTAGCTTTGATAGATAGAGGGAAGTTATGGTAGCACAGTTTAAAGCGGGGTGTCAAACTGGTGGCCCATGGGCTGGATGTGTCACGCAAAGGCCATGCCAACCCCAGCTCTGTGAATGGGGGAAACATTGTGAAACGTCACCTGATGGCAACGTGACACAGCGAGTTTGACACCCATGGTTTAGGGAGTCAACCTGGACCCATGTTAATTTGAAGGTCTTCAAGTAAAAATACAGGAATTTTTTTCTCAATAAGGAGCCTGCCTATTAATCCTTGTTGTAGTCCAGATAATAGAACCAATTATCTGTCATTTGCATTGTCCTAAAATTTAAATGGAAATAAATAGACTATTTTTTGAAAATGCAAATTGCAGATAGATACCAGGCCCTAATCTTGTTGTGAAGGAAGTGGAGAAGAGAATCTAATGGACTGCCAGCATTTATCTTGGGTTGTCAGCCAAATGAGGCTGTTCCTGGAACATATTGGGTGCTGACTCTGGTAATAAAAAGTTGGATCCTGATTTTGGTTTAATATTAAGCCCTAAAACAAGGTGGCAGTTAAAAACAGTGATCTGTGTCACTCCCAAAGAGGAAAGGATGTCAATTTAATTAGTTACAGTTGCTGACTCTTCCTACAGACAACATTCTCCAAAGCTGTCTCCTTTATTGGAAGCAACTCCTGCTTTCCTAATCTCAATTTCTTTGGCTTCAAGTTCCTAGTTCCTCCTAGTTTTTTTCCTTGTGGATTGATAACCAGTTTTAAGTTGTGAAGGAATGTGGCTTTGACTCAAAAACAGGGGAGGAGATTTCTGAGCTGTTGCAGAGAAGATACCTGAGTCTTGGGAAAATAGAAAATGTAGAAATAAATCCAAAACAACTCTGCCTTGACTGTATTAGATACAAGTTGAAGTAAAAAAAGGGGGGCTTTGGCTTTTCAAGATCTATTCCAATACCCTAACTGCATTAAAGTACATATCTTGTGACTTCCATTTCCTGACCTTGATGGGCTGACATCAGCTCTTGGACTTCTCTGGCTCTGGACTTCTATCTAAATAATTCAGGATTTTATCTCCTTCAGTTACTTCCACAGAGTGTACATATGCTTTGCTCTAGTCCATAGGCAAGATTCCTCCCATTGTGTGTAAGCCTCAGTTTGATTTACAGCCATCAACTTGTGTGTTATCTGTTTATGCATTGAACTGATTTACGGCTAAAGTAATTGAAGTACTTAAACCTACCTGCTAATTTACTCCCACCTGCTCTCAGCTCTACCTTGAATAGAAGAGTTTGTTGCCAGTCCTTAAAGGTCTTTCAGCTTTCTTTGCTGAAATAGAGTATGTTCAGTTGAGAGCCCAGCTGTTCAAGCTAATTGCTCTGATTGATGCTTTGCCATTGCAGCTGAACCAGTTGACTGCTTCAATTCCTCCATGATACAAATGTTCAGTAGTCATACTTGAAAAATTTGAGAGTTCTCACAACTAGTTTCCAACATTTGCAACACCCTGAAGATTATCTAACAAAATAGAAAGTAATTGAAGCAGTGGCCAAAAATGCAATTCTGTTGCCTTGCACTTGAACAGCCCATTAAATCTGCCAATCACCAGATCAGAAAGCGGCAACAAGGGCACCACCCAGTGGCAGAAGCTTTAAATAACTTCCTGCTTTTGACAAGGCTTGGAGCAGAATAAACAGATGCATTCCATAAAAACCTGGAGACCAAATTCTTGATGACTTGGCCTGCATTAAGCAGACATCCACAGTGTAATACTTTATAAATATTTATTTATTTAGCATCTTTATAAGGTGGTCAGACTTCAGATGACTCTATATGGTGTACGAGAATAAAAACAGGAAAGAAAACAAGGAAATCCATACAAGACAATAATTAAATGAGAAGGGAAACCACATATTCTTCTGTCCCAGAGGTCTCAAACCTGCAGCCCATGGGCCATGTGCACCCCTTGGTGGTTACCTCTCAGGAACTACTGTCTTAGCTTTTCTCCTGTACACATTTGGCCATGCCAAGCAGCAACTTCTCAGTAGGAATAAGATCTTGTCAGTATCACTTGATTTTCCAGTGGTGAGCTGAATCAGACTCCAAGGAGAAGGAGGCAGTAGTGGACAATGGCAGAGATATTCCTTGTGCTTCTTTCAGGGGAAATGACATTGCCAGAATCATTTTCTGCCAGTACAACTGCTTCCCCCATAGAAATTAGATGCATGGCAGACCACTTTGGCAGAAAGATACCATGCTATGCAGTAGTATCTAGAATAGCCTTTGATGGAAAACTTCCTTTTGTACTCTGCATAGCTATTTTGAAAATACATAACAGCTTTCAGGTTCTGAAATATCCTTTCTGTCTTTAATCATCTAAGGCAGGGGTGTCAAAATCACATCATGGCAGCATCACGTAACATATTGGGACTTTCCTCCCTTCGCTAAAATTGGGGTAGGCACGGCCAGTGAATGACACATCCAGGCAGTGGGCCGGGAATTTGAAAGCCCGGATCTAAAGCATGATATTTTGTGGGATTTAATGGAAAAAAATGATACTATTTATTTGGGTGACATTCTAATTTATTGTCTCTCCCATGTCATGTTGAGGCACTTTACAGTGGGTTCAGGAGCATTATCTATAGATAAAATTAAAAAACTTAAATTCAAGTAGTCACTATTGACTTCCTGTGCCATCACATTTCACTAGAAAGACTTCAGATGGATCTAATAAAGATGGAAACCTTTATGGTCTGGCAGCTCCTCAGGGATTAAAATTGTTCAAAGGCATTCTTTTACAAACTCCATAAATTTCAAGACTTTGCGTCAATTACCTCTACTCAGTCCTGCAGACTAGTATTACATTATTTGGGTTAAGGAGTTTTTGCCAATTAAGATGTCCTTTGGAACCGGGCCTTTGAGACTTGTTTGGAAGGGCTCAACATTCTGTGGAGGTAAGGACAAGCCACTATGGCTTGGAATGCCTCCAGACAGTTTGTAAGCTAATCCAAAGCCAGTAATGGGGATTACTATTCTTTTTTTTTCCATTCAACTTCAAAGTAACTTCCATCTCAACAAAAGGATAGATGTCTTGTTTCAGAAATCCAAATATTTGTTCATTGATTAAGGCCCACCATAGGCAAAAAATTCTCAGCAGGTTACAATTATTACAATAAAGTATCTACATGCAGTTCCGGTTACACAGCAATAAGCAGTTACCCAGTTTAAAGTGCAGATAAAATTATAAAGCAACCAACTAAAAATAGATAGCACATGTATAAATCAAAGGTTCTCTTGAACAATTCTGAATTTTCTGAATCCTAGGAAGGCAGAGATGAATGTTATTTTTGAGGGCCTGGTGTTCTATAACATTGGCATTGCCATAGTGGGCAATGTTGAAAACTTCCATCTTCTTTTTTTTTTAAACAAATTTTATTCAGTTTTTCACATTAAAAACAAAAATCTCTTTTTAGTGGACAACATATTTCCGGGTCATCACCTTTACATACAAATATGACAGCAATTATACATTCATATATGCATACTTAATTCTATTATTACCTTTTCCATTCCAAATTTTCAGTAAGGAGAGAAACAAACACATTAATTCTAGCCTCTTTCATTAATCTCAATTGAAACATCTTTTTGTTTCATTTCAATTATTTCAAATATAATCCTTTAATATTTATTTTAAAAGTAAAGATAAACAATATGTGTTTGCCTAATAATAATAATGATGATAATAATAATGATAATAATAAAAAAGTTACCAATGTCTCTCCTTGCTTTTAATAGTTTATATTAACTTATTAATAGTTGGTTCTTTAGTCTGTCATATTCCCTTTCCATTACACATTCTTTTTATAAATTCTAGATTAATACAAATTTTAACACTAAAAAAAAAACACCAAATATAGGTTTCCCCCCTTTTACTATTTTGAGTGTGACACCTCAATGATTAAAATATACCTTTATTCCCTCATCTTGATTCCCAATAAACCATTATTTTTAAGAAGTTACAATAATAATCATTACATCATTTCATTTGGATTCCGCAGCATATTTTCCCCACTTGATTTTAATAAGAGTTATCAATATCTATATTACCCTATTTTCTAAATATTTTAATTGCAGAAATATTCTTATTACCCCTTATCACCCTGCAGAATCCCCTTTTTAATTCATCAACCATTATCTCTGAAAAAACAATTTCTTTTCAACATTTTACTATTTCCGTATTCCTTTATTTCATGCACCTGTTTCTTACTGCTTCTCCTCCCCCTCTTTTCCCCATATCTTTTCTCATTCCAGTTTATATCCCTCTCTTTCTTAATATCTTCCTTTCCCCTTTTCTGCTGGGTCTTTCTGCCTTTCCTGACTTCACAGGTATTCCCCCTTTTGATTGCCTTCTTAAATCTCAACTTTTTAACCTTCCTTCTTTCCCCACTTCTTTGTAGTGTTCTTTGTGTTAATTGTCTATTTAAAATGTCTTCTCCTTGAATCGACTCCTCCTTCTCTGAAGCTCTTTCTTCTTCTTCAATCGCCATTTCCATTTTTTCTAACACAGAGCAAAGTGATTCGCCTCTTTCCTGTAGTAATTCTCTCATATTTTTAAGTTCCATTTTTAATTCCCGAAGAGATATCATCATTACACACTCTTATGTTTTATGATCGTTAAAGTCCACACAAAAAAAAACACTTTTACTTTCCTTCTTTCTTCTTTCAATTTTCTAAAATTCTCAATTATTCCAGCCCAGGGTCTATACCAAAAACATCAATCAATCCCACAGTCAGTCGTTCCTTGCTTTTTTCTTTATTCTGGTTCTGCTTTCACTTTCTAAGATTCTTACTTTGTTTCAATATTTCTTTAATGTTATATCCACACAAGTTCATTCAGAAACAGGATGCTTTCCGGTTTTTTTGAGCACAAGTTTTTGTCAAAAGGTGGCACTCTCCATTATACAAAGTCTTCACCTTTTCCCCCTATTTTTTTATTTAGGGTTTTTTGAACCTCAATATTCCAGCACAGTCCAGTCTCCAATTTGTAAACTTTATTATTATTATTATTTGACAATCCTAAGTCCAGCTTTATTTTATGCCTGTTTATTCCCAAAATATTTTAGTCCAATTTAGTTAAATCTTTAGTTCCAACTTCGTCCTTTCCCAGTTCGAAGCCCCGCTTAGCTGTCAAAAATATTTTCTATTTTTTCCCCTGTCCCTTTGTAATTTCGCCGCTCACTTTTCTTTTCTTAAAAATTCCATGTTACCTTAATCCCGGGGTACTTTTGTTTAGTTATATTGCCCAGTTGTCCCGGTTCAGATGTTATCCACCTCTTTCTTCCCTCCTGCACAAATCTTAATCCAGCTGAGTCCTCCTCTTCGGGGTGGCCATTTTAAACCATCGCTGCAGTCGTCTTCGGGGGGAAAAAGACGAAGCCCAGGGGGGGAGATGCAGCTCCCCTCAACCTGGCTTGCAGCTTCCCCTTATGCCACCGTCCCTCCAAGGCAGCTTCAGCCCCTAACTGTAATAATCGGGGCTCTCCAACAAAAGAGCACAGACCATAGCTGCAGAGAGTCACGATCTATGGTCCGTCAGCAAGGAGGCTCCGCCTTCCGACTCCTCAAAACTTCCATCTTCTATCTACATATAATATGAATATATATATGATTCATATTACCATTCCAACAATCAACCAGAGAAGTCTGAAAATCTATTATTATCTTGATGCATTTTTTCTATCAGCATTATCAGGTTTGTGACTACAATTGCCATTAGTCATCTCCATCAATTATAGGCATATTCTTACATATCCTTGACTGTTTACCATGTTAATTTAAATCCTGGAGACTTTTACTTTCACACATGCATGTCTTTTGATGTTTGGATTTTCAGATATTCATAAGGCACTTCACTTCACTGGACAAGGCAAATCCAGAAAAACATTTTTCTTAGTTAATTCACCAGTGCCTGAATTTTAGCAACCCTTGGTTTGAAGATATTGTGTTACCTCTGGGGGGGAAAAGAGAGACTTAAAAATATTTGGAGTATTATCATTAAAATGGTGTTAGTCAATAGGGTGCCCTCTAGCATCTGTCAGATCAGCATAATCTTTCAACAGGGTAATATACATTGAAGTATCAGGTATCCAGTGAGCTTGAGGATAATGAATAGAATTTAAGAGAAAAGTGGTCACATTCTCAGATTCAGAGGATATGTCTACACAAAAACTGGAATGATACTGGGAGGTTATTGACTGCTTGAATCATAGCATGAAAACAACTAAAACATATTAGCTTCCTAAGAGAGAAAATAGATGAAAATTGTGAAAAGTTGCAATTACGGGAGTAATGTGGGGTTTTTGTGCTTACCATTTCCTCTGTGTACTGACTGTTTTTCTATCTCATTAGAATTTACAAATTAAAATTCTTCCTATGGGCACCATTAGTTACAATAATGAAAAGGTGGGCAGAGATATTTCTTTTTAATGAGATTTTTTTTTATTAATTCAGCTGTTTTTGTATGCTTATTAATTATATGTAAATAAATTAATTCCTAATTTTCCTTGCCTCTGTTTTTAAATATATTCATTGGCCAGGGGCATCTTATATAGTACGAAGATGTGAGCAGCCAGCTGGAGTGTTTTTTCTTGGTTTTGTATGGGGATTATGAGGATTAAAAGTCAAAACATCTGTAGAGTATTTAACTGAGGAAAGCTGGCTTATATTATAAATCACAGATTAATTGATATTACATTTTTATTGCAACTATTGCCATTATATACAGTGACTAAGATCATTTCAAATCTATTTTAATTATTTAGCTTCTAATTTTTTTTCAAAACATCCTTCTAATTTTTATTTTGAAAATATAGTATTGTCCTGGAATTTATTAGTTTTGCTTTATTTCTTTATCAGCCTATCTCAACAAATGAGTGGGTGGCATACATCATGAAACATAAAAAGAGTTAAAACAATACAAAATAAATATATACGGCACCAAACCATTACTACAGACTTAATACAGACAGAAAATGGGTCCCTTAACATATACTCAAGGCCTTGGCACCCAACCAAGTCTTCACAGCCTTGTGAAAGGCCTACAGGACCTAGATCATTCTGATATATGAAGGGAGAATATTTAAGAGGACAGGGGTTGACCACACTTTCTTTAAGACATGGCAGAACTACCTCCTCTCTCAAGCATGCATTTACTACTACTCAGTGGTGTATTAACCATTAAGCAGAATAAGCACGTGCTTAGGGCCTCAGGCCCAAAGGGGGCAACACAAAGTTGAGAATATGGCTTCGTTTGTACAGTATGTACAAAGGAGGAGGGCACCAAGATTTGTCAGTGCTTAGGGCACCAGTGAGCTTTAATCTGCCATTGCTACTACCAATCCTTGTTGTTGCACTGATTATATAGCAAAAATTATCTTCAGTGTAAAATCAAGCTCCCCCCCACCCCCCAAGAACCAAGGACTGGGGTGGGCTCATTATGGGGAAAGGGTTGAAGATCACACATTTGTTGATTTGCCATTTACAAAATTTGCAATTTTCTGTATGTATCCCTATTTGCATATCATCTTCTAATTGATGAAGAATGTGCCATCAATTCTCTTGGTCTTTGTAGATAGAAAATACTCCAATTGCCACAAGATTGAGGGCTGGACATAGAACTGGGTTCTTATGTTGCCAAATCATGCTGTAACCAACTAGTTCCTTTTTTTACTTCATAAAACTCCACCGTTCACCAAGTACCATTGAATGTGGTTTCTTTTTCTTTCACAGCTTTTTTTGGAAAATACCTCAATGAATACAATGGCAGCTATATCCCGCCTGGCTGGCGAGAGTGGGTTGGATTAATAAAAAACTCTCGTTTCTATAATTACACTGTTTGTCGCAATGGCCTTAAAGAGAAGCATGGATTTGAATATGCAAAAGTAAGGAAGAATCACATTTATCTTATTACGCACATAGGTTAAACTTATTCTTGATAGAAGAAATGATATTTTAAAATCACTTCATTGAAATAATACTCTTAATTTTTTCTGTTGACTGTATGGTCAGAATTTTTTTCACATAGTTCATAGAAGGTCAGTTAACACTGGATTTTTAGTTATGAAGAAGAAATAATGAAAATGGGTGGGATTCAAATTTTTGAACAACTGGTTCTGTGGGCATGGCTAGGTGGGCACGGCCATGTGACTGGGTGGGCATGGCTTCTCTGGTTTGTTTTTTTTGCAGCCCCCCCCCCCCCTGTTTTTTTGCCTCCTGGGCCTCAGGGAAGCCTCCTGGGGGGCATTTTTGCATTCTCCCCCACCCATTCTCTCGTTAAGGTATTTCTTTCCCCCCTTCTGACAATCAGCTATTCTGATGATCAGCTGTTCCGGGATCCCCCTGGCTATCTTACTGCTTCACCCAGGAAGCTTCCCTGGGGGCCAGGAAGGCAAAAAACAGAGCATGGGGGGTGCAGCACCCCTCCCACCTCTGCCCCCCACCCCATGGCCCTTTTTGCCTCCTGGGCCTCAGGAAAGCCTCCTGGGTGAAGCAGTAAGATAGCCAGGGGGATCCCGGAACAGCAGAATAGCTGATTGTCAGAAGGGGGGAAAGAAATACCTTAACGAGAGAATGGGTGGGGGAGAATGTAGTCAGCGATATCGGGCATGCACGCGATGTCACGTATGCGCAATAAGAACTGACTGACTGTGCAGGGAGGGGAGGGGTGGACGGACAGAGGCAGAGCCAGCCAGGGGCACGATTTGCCAGTGCTCAGAATTGCACATAATCGTAACAACTGGTTCTATAGAACCGGTCCAAACCAGTAGAATCCTACCCCTGAATGAAAGGTACTAAATCTTGGAAACTTGACTGTGGTAACAGACGAACATACAGACACACCCCACAAAAATTACATAGCACACTTTGTTTCCCATAAAAAGCTGTTATCTTTTATCTTTTGAAAGAGATAATTTGCAAAAGATTTTGGTTTCCAGTATTGCCTATGTTATGTATAATAATTTGGCATTTGAAGTTTGGAGAAAACTTGCTCCTTCAGAAAATACCTTTGCCCCAGTTAGTCTTTTTGAGACAAGTGCTAGTGTGAGAGGCTTAATGGGAAAAGATATTTGAAAATCAGTGAAAGTTATCTTTTATACTGATTTGTATATAAAATTTTTAAACAAGTAGGATAAAAACTAATTGAAACTAATAATTCAGGAGATAATTTTTTAAAAATAATAAAGAACAAAGCCAAAAGTACAGAGAAATAAAGAAATATAAAGAAATAAATTCTGATTTTCTTTTACAACAGTTATGAGTATAAATTTAAATTGACCTCTTACTCGAGAGTTATGACATACTTTCTTTCATACTTTTTCACATGTACTGTGTCTGCAAAGTACTTTTGGCGTTAGTAGTTTGAGAAACGATCCTGGAATGAGGACAAAGTGTTCACAGCTGTTTGGGCTTCCCTAATAGTATTATGTGGAAAAAAAAAATGCTGCACTATTTTTCACTGTTGCTTTTGCAGCTGTTCATGACCCTGAGTCCACCTCATCTGATTGATTAGACTTGTCTGAAAATGGTTGAAATTGTATGTTCATGTTACCTTGGAACTCCTCACTGGAGTTCATGCCAGTTATTTGATCAAAACCTCCGTAAACCTAGAGATGGCAGATAGTTTAATTCCCAACTTTTAACAAAGTCCTTTCCGTGGGTGTGGGTGTGGGTGGGTGGGTGATTTTTCATTTTATTACATTGGGTATATGTTAAGCTGCTTAGTTGGTATGATAGGATTTTGATATTAGTAGCTATGCTGTTCTAAAATGAGCAGAATTCTTTAAAAATGCCAGTATTCTTTTTTAATTACAATTATAGCCAAGAGCCTATAGTGTCTGAGCTCGAGTGTGATTTAAATGTTTCTGAGTCTTTGTCTTCTACTTAAAAGGTGTTATTCCTCCTTACCTACACAGATAAGCCTATTGGAATGCAGCCTTTCATCTGCATATATTTGACCTGGGAACTGTGCCCAACTTCTAAAGCTAGATAGGTGAAATCCTTTCAAAGCCTATTGGACTAAGCCACTATAATATGACCTTGTGATATTGGATGCAGTTGGGAAATTGTCACTTATGTTGAATGTTTGTTTCAGGACTATTTTACAGATTTAATCACTAATGACAGTATCAATTATTTCAAAATGACTAAGAGGACATATCCCCATAGACCTATAATGATGGTGATCAGCCATGCAGCTCCCCATGGCCCAGAGGACTCTGCACCACAATTCTCCGAGTTGTATCCAAATGTTTCTCAGCACATGTAAGTGAAACTTTGTACTGTGAACATGCTGGGGATTTGCCACTTCATTGCTGGCTGCCCTTTTCATGTGTGTAATGAAATGAAGAGTTGATGTCAGTCAGTCACCTCTTTGCCCTGCTTCAGTTATTTGAGGGTTCAATGAAATACTCTAGAATATTCCATACTTATGCAGAGGTCCCATATTTTCTTCTTTTTGAAAAGCATAATCTTTATGTTTCTGTTTGAGTAAAGCCTTGTAAGCACTTTTGGCAGTGAGAAATACTGAGTTATCATTTGGCTTGGTGTCTGGACTGTAGATGCCTAAAGTGGTTAGAAAACCTTCTTTTTCTTCCATCTTTCTTTTTTTTTTTTTCCTCCTTGGAGTTGCCTGCAATTCTTTCAATTTTCTCTCTGAACATTTTGTCTTATTTCTGTACAATTAATATTAAGTTTGCCCTAAAGTTGATGGAAGAGAAACAGTAAAGTCTTGGTTTTGTGCAGTGGATTTTACTCATTCATGGTCGTAGATGCTGATCACATATTTGCACGCTTTCTCTATTGAAAGCCACTGAGTAGAATCTACAAAATGGGTATGAATTAATACAACAGTGATCTTTCTTTCGATGTATTTTCTGGTGTGTTTATAATGTGGTAGGCACATTTGCAGCCTAAAATGTATTTCAGAAAATATATTTCATAGTTTCCCCAACTTATGCTGTGTGAATAAAACTAAGCCTGAGATAAATGGTTACACAAGAAAGAAAGCCAGTTTATTTCATCATTTTAAAACAATGGAAAAAATATGCTCTTTCTTGACATCTATGCTTCTTCCCACCCCACTCCACCCACATCTCCCTTGCTCTTGCTTTGATATCTTAATTGGTGCAATGAATTCATACCCAAATTTAACACCTTAGAGTAGCACCATTAAGTCTGGTTAAAAAGACACAATTCTTAAAGGTTTGTGAAATGCTTTATTTTAAACTGTTTTAAGTGAAACTTTGTAAAATTCCTCATTTTTGAATATTTCAGATGCAAAACATCTTCAAAATAGCTGTTTCTAGCTTGAAATACTTTCAAAATTATTAAAAGAGCTTATTTTTGTACTTGAAATTAGGACACTCCAATTCCCAAGCATTTATTTTTGTCTATTCCTAGTTTTGAGACCCCAAATGTCTAACAAATTATCAATACATAAATATATCACAATGGCTGACTGGTTGACTGAAGATGCATGCAAACATAATTTTAAGATACAAATGTTCACCAACATGAATAAGCTGAACCAACCATAGTCATGCAGTCATGGAACTGAATGGTTAGAAAGAGTCATGGAGATCATCTAGCCCAGTGGTTCCCAAACTTTTTCAGTCCACCGCCCCCTTTGTGCTACAAACTCTCCTCGGTGCCCCCCACCCAGGGGTGGGATTCAAATTTCTGAGGGTGTGGCCTAATTTGAGGGTGTGGCTTGCTGGTCATGTGACTGGGTGGGTGTGGCTTGCTGGTCATGTGACTGGGTGGGCATGGCTTGCTGGTCCTGTGACTGGCTGGCATGGCTTGCTGGCTGGGCATGGCTTGCTGGTCACATGACAGGATAGGTGTGGTTTGGTGGTCATGTGCCTGGGTGGGTGTGGCCAGGTGACTGGCAAACCAAATACAAGTGGTCTTCACTTAATGGCCAGTTGTTTAGCAAGTATTCTAATTTATGACTGGCCTCCCCAGAGATACTTGACCTGTTTTTGGAGTTTTGACAGCCATGCACATACATACACACACACTCCCTTCTAATCCTGCTGGAGCAGGTCATTGGACTAGAATCAGCAAAGCATCTCTGATTAGATTCTAGTAGTGAATAAAATCTAATCAGAGATGCTTTGCCGATTCTTGTTGATTTGTTTTATTTTTATTTCTTTGTTTTATGTTGCTGAATTGCATTGACATGTATGTCCCTTCTTGTGCACAACCCAGAAGCTTTTGTGATTCTTTGCAGCAAAAATTACCGACCTCTGGCTTTGCTCGACTTTTCAAATGTGCCACCACTGCCACGTTTTTGGTGCCAGCCCCGCAGGTCCACCCCATTGAGCCCGCTGCACCGGAGGGACTTGCCCAAGCAAATCCGAGCGAAGCAGTGCACCAAGTCAATGGGTTGAGCCTGAGAGAGGGAAAGAGAGAGAGAGAAAAGAGAGAGAGAAGAGAGAAGGAAAAAAGAAAGAGAAAAGGGAAAGAAAGAAAAAGGGACAGATGAAGAAAGAGGGGGGATGGAAGGAAGGAACAGAAAGAAAAAGAAATAAAGAAGGAGGGAGGGAGGGAGGGAGAAGAAAGATAATGAGATATCTATTCTAGTCCAATCACCTGCTCCACAGGGTTAGAAAATTGTGTGTGTGTGTGTGTGTGTGTGTGTTTTCTCCTTGTAATTTACCAGTACATTTTGGTTTTGCCTTCTTCAGAATTGGCACTTTAAAACATTGGGGAAAAGTAATTTTTAGGGTGGAGATCTGGTCCAATGGATCCTGTTTAAAGCCTCAACAAAATGTGAGAGCTTCCTGATAGTCTTGAGCATGTTTCGTCCACAAAACCTTTAATAGAAGCCAAAGAGGTTCCAATGTGGAAAAGGGCCTCAGACTAAACTAGGCCTCATTTCAATCTGATGCATCAGGTCTCTCGGTCTCTCTCTCTCTCTCTCCCTCCTTCCCTCCCTCCCTCCCTCTCAGATTTGGCTTTGCTGTACTTTCCCAATATGCCTGCGGGGCTGGCGCTTCGAACATGGATGGATGGATGGAGAGAGAGAGAGACAGAGAGAGACAGGTAGGTAGGTAGATATATTGGTAGATAGGTAGGTGAGTAGGTAGGCAGGTAGGCAGGTAGGCAGGCAGGCAGGCAAGCAGGCAGGAAGACAGGCAGACCTTTTGGATGTATGTATGATAGGTAGGTAGATAGATAGGTAGATAGGTAGATATTGGTAGATAGGTAGATATTGGTAGATAGGTAGATAAGTAGGTAGGTAGACAGAAAGACAGGCAGGCAGGGAGGGAGGGAGGGAGGGAGGGAGGGAGGAAGGCAGGCAGACAGATCTTTTGGATGGATGGATGGATGGGTAGACAGACAGACAGACCGCGATAGCGGCAGCACTTTGGGAAAGTAAAGCAAAGCCACCGTCACTACATTCGAGGTGCCGGCTCCGGAGCGGTGCAACAGTCAATGGGGTGAGCCTGCAGTCCAAGTGCCTCGAATGCCCCCCTGCCGCCTTTTAGCACCCCTCTGCCAGCCCCCTTGGGGGCGCTAAGAGGCGGCAGGGGGGCATTCGAGGTGCTGGCACCGCAGGCTCACCCCATTGACTGTTGCACCAGAGAGGTGCAAGAGGCTCAATGGGGTGAGCCTGTGGAGCCTGCGTGTTGAACACAGCAGCGGCATATTGCAAAAGTAGAACAAAGCTGCCTGCCTTGGGCTTCCTCAACCCTGCCCTGCTCCAGGAAGGAGGGAACAGCACCGCCCTGTACGACGTGAGTGCCCCGAGAGGAGGGGCAGCTTGGGAGGCTGATCCCTGGCAGGAGGGGCACCCTGTGAACTTGCTGTCAAGCACGGCAACTACAAAGAGGGGCGGACTTGGCTGAGCAGGATCCTGGATATTGGGCATGTGGTCAAAGCCCCCCTTCCTCTGCCCCCCCCCCCCAGGTCAGGGATCTGCAACCTTAAACATTCAAAGAGCCATTTGGACCTGTTTCCCACAGAAAACAAAACACTGGGAGCCCCAAGACATGGGTGGGCGTGGCAACTCAATGGCACTCCCACTGAGTCACATGACCCCCCAGGTTTTGTGGTTTTCTGTGTTTTCTATGGGGAACACGTTGCTCTCTCTCTCTCCTCCCTCCCTCTCCCATCTCTATCTCCCTCTATCTCCCTCTCCATCCTTTCCTCCTTCTCATCTCTCTTTCTTTCCCTCTCCCTCTCCTTCTCTCTCTCTCCTCTAACTCTCTCTCTTTCTCTCTATGCCTCTTATTTCCTCCTTCTCCCCCACTCCCCACCCCCCCTTCCCAACTCCCACACCCAGGGAATAACAGTAAGGAAATTTGGCCATGTTCTTTCTGTCTCTGGAAAGATGCAAAAATAAACCTTGCATTCCAAAAGGAGTGACAGGCTGTTACCTCACAGTGCTACGAGGTTGCTGCCTTAGATCGCTGCTGAATCCTTGCAAAACTGGGCAAAGACAGAGAGAGGGGAGCAGACAGAACTGAATTGAGCCGAATCTCTCTCCCTCCCTTTGTATCTCTCTCTCTCTCTGTGTGTATCTCGCTCTCTCTCGCTCCCTGTCTGTGTCTCTTCCCACTCTCTCGGAAAGCCCTGCGTGCTCTCCTTGGGGCTCTTCGCTGTCCCCTTTTCTTTCTTCCTTTTGGAAATCTGGGCTGGCTGAAGAACAAGAGGAGGAGGAGGGGGAGGAGGGAGGCCTCCACCATGGCTTCCACTCGTTCCTCAGCTAGCCCGGATTTCCAAAAGGAAGGAAGGAAAAAGGATAGCAAAGAGCCCCAAGTAGAGCACACAGGACTTTCCGAGAGTATGAGAAGCTTCTTTTCTTTCTTCTTGGCGAGTTTTTGGAAATCCGGGTTGGCTGAGGAATGAGCGCAAGCCGTGGCAGAGGCTTCCTTCCTTCCTCCCTCCCTCTCCCCTCCTTCTCCCCTCGTGCGCACCTTCCAGGCCCCACCACAGCCAGCTCCATGGCTGTTCGCTGCTCTTGCAGCACCTGTGTAGCACACTCAAATTTAGTGCAGTTTACTCCATCCTCTCCTCCTCCTCCTGGAGCCCATTACAGTGCGGTGCATCGGAGCTGCTGCATTCGAGGCGCTGGCTCCGGAGCAATGCAACAGTCAATGGGGTGACCCTTCAGGGCCTCGAACGCCCCCCTGCCACTTCTTAGCACCCCCCTTGCCTCTTTGCACCCTCTAAGGCAGGGGTCCCCAACCACCAGTCCGCGGACCGGTACCGGTCCGCGGAACAAGTCCTACCGGGCCGCTGGTTTGCTGGGCGCC